ATGGAGAAGATCAGTTGGACCGATTATGTGAGAAATGAAGAAGTGTTAATTAGAGTCAGTGAGCAGAGGAATATCCTACACGAAATAAGAAAACGGAAGGCTAATTGGATTGGTCATGTTTTACGCAGAAACTGCCTTCTAAAAGAAGTTATTGATGGAAAGATAGAGGGGCAGATAGAAGTGACAAGAAGACGAGGAAGAAGACGTAAGAAGATGCTGGATGACCTTGGGGACAGAAGAGGATACTGTCATTTGAAGGAGAAAGCTCTAGATGGCATTATGTGGAGGAACTGTTTTGGAAGAGACTGTGGACCTGTCGTCTGACAGATTACTGATGATGATGTATAAAATCTTTGTTAATTTACATATGTCAATTCGATTATTGAATTTTGGTATTTTTTAAAATCTTTAATTTAAATTTAACTTTTTTTAAATTTTTTAAAATTTAAACTTCACAGGGATACCTGTTCTATGTCTACAGTGCTGCAACGGCTACTTCTTGCTTTCAGCACCATTCAGGTATTATTCTGTGTAGGCTCCCTGTGTGCGTGCCGCAGTGCAGTGTAACAGCTATGTGAGAGTATACACCTGATGATGGCCATTTACGGCCGAAACATGTAGTGTAGAAGAAAAGAAGACAAAAGAACTACAATAAATTGTTGCACTTAGGACGGAGTTTGTGTTATACATTGTGTAGAGTGTAACAGGATTCTTAAATATAACATTCCTCATTCTACTCAAACTTACAACATACCCTAGGGCATTCTGGTACCAAGCAGTTGCTTCTTTATCCCTGCTGTTTCCACTTGTTTGTACCAGTTTTCTGAAACATATGAGGGTGATTCATTAGGTACCTACACTTTAATTCTTATGTGTAGAAGGTACAAGATAGCCTGATGGAAGTTTGCAGCTCCCAATCCCCACATGACCTTAGATGCAGTAAGCAAGCTGTGGGAAAGCAGAGAACATGACTGCATCAAAAAAGAACAGTTGGCCAAGGTTCTCTTGTGGGTTTACATATCTCTGTGGGTGGGGGGGAAAAGATCTAAAAGAAGTTGAAATTCACAAACGTTTAAGAGCCCAATATGAGGACAGAGTGTGTTTGAGTAGTCAGACCTGTTTGCATAAGGTATGACAAGAGAAACCAATTGAGCATCCTTGTGGTACCACACCACAGCAATAAATGATGACAAACAAACAGGAACAAGCCAGAGCCATGAACCTCAAGGATGGATGAATATCAGTACAGGTCAGTGCATCAATACCAGATATCAGTACGAGTCCAGCTCATTCAACAGTGCAAAATATTCTTAGTTTCCACAAAGTCTGTGCAGGGTGGGTTCTGAGGGAATTGACAGAAGAGCACATAGGCTTGAGTTCTTGTCTGCTGGAGTAGTACCATGATGAAGGCACCAATTCTCTTTTATCACATCACTGGTAATGATACTTCCATATACCATCAAGAACCACAAATCACACATCAGAGTACGCAGTACAAGTACTTGTCCTCTCTTGCCGCCAAATAGTTCCTGACTCAGCCATCAATGTTCTGGAACTCTCAAAGTCCTATCCAACATTACCGGGAATGTGGAATTACACTGACAGGTGCAACATATTGTGGCACGTTACAAAGTGAATTGAGGCCAGCCATCCACCCGAAAAAGACAAGGCAAATTACTGCAATGCGCTGTCTTGCATGATATTGCTCCTAATCATTCTGCTTCTCGACATAGCAAAATCCTTCAGGAGCTGAGATATGAACTGAACATCCGGCATATAGTCCAGACCTTCAATCTTCAGATTTCTTTCCATTTGGACCTCTACGGGGGCTCACAGAGGTCATCAATTTGTAGATGATGATGAGGAGGAGGAGGAGGAGGAAGCAGTGCATTACTCACTTTACACTCATTCCAAAAAGTTCTATTTTTGTACTAGCGTCAGAAAGCTTGTGGACTGCTGTACAAACATTCTGAGAAGCAGGGAGACTATACACACAAGTAAAAAATTAGGTAGAAACATTTCATAATCATTTTCATACTCTGTTGGTATATTCCTCTTTCTCTCTTCTGCAAAGTCTTTGCCTTAGTTCAAGCACACATGACCTGGTACTGGAAATGAATGTTCCACTTATACAAAAACAGCATTAAAGACTTGGTCTTTTTAGCAAATACATATTGCTTTCCTATTAGGTATGAACTGAATTTCTATACAATGTTTAGAAGAAATTAGGTCTTGAAAGTGTTAATTTTTATTCACCATATCAACCAGATTATATAATAAATTTATTAACATTATGTGGATTGTTCTGTTTAGCCTTTCAGTGATCATACTTTCAGGATCTCTTCCAACATCCTGTGAGCACATCATGCATCCATCTTCATCAGCATCATAGACTCTCAAATTAAAATATTCACAACTGTTAGAAACAGAAAAATACATTTGAATAATTGTGTGTGCGTGTGTGTATATACACTGTATTCAATGACGAAAGAACTTCGCAATACTGACCTGGCCCAATACACTTCTGCTGGCCATGCAGAAGTGTAGAGAAACGCAGTGCATTACTAGCTATGCTATCTACTGTGCAGTGGCAGGAAATTTGTATGGTCATATGTGTAAACTGCCATAACACAATTTCTATACCAAACTCTGAAGGAATTTTGAAGTTTAATGTTTAGGTGACGTCACTGGTAATATTGGCAGAATGATGTAAAGCTAACAGAATAAAGGAATGACACATCATCTCATTTTATTAAATGAATTTTATTTCTAGCTTTTATTAACGGGTTTGACCCTGATCCGGGTGGATTGAAACGAAGCATGAATGCCAGTTTAGAGAACTGAGTTCGGAAAACGAAGTCTGTAGGTGGTCAGACATCTGAGACAATATCCATTAACAGACTCTGATGAAACTTCGCACTGGGTGCTCTTATTGCATCGGACATATTAAACTACTTTGAGCAGTCAGGGCTAACATTTAACAGACAGTATGTTGAAATCTATTAATCAAGAAATGCATGTTGGTGGAACATTCAGGCTTTTGACTGTGTAAATCATGAAATTTTATTAACTATATTATATTTTTTTGGCATTCAAGGAACAGTGTTAAGTTGGTTCAGATCCTACCTAACAGATAGAAAACAGAAGATTGAAATAAAATCATCAAATTCAGTCCAAAGTACCTACTGAAACTGGGGAATAATAAAACATGTAGTTCTACAGGTGTCAATTTTGGGGCCTTTGCTTTTCATAATTTATATAAACGACCTCCCTCCTACACTAGGGATCTCATCAATACCTATAATATTTGCAGATGACAGTAGTGTTATAATTTCTGGCAATAATTTAGATGATTTCTGCATGTTATCAAGCAAGGTTCTTTCACAAATGAGGAAATGGTTTTCTTCAAAGAAGCTGTCCCTAAACCTAGAAAAAACTAATGTAATAAAATTTATAACAAAAACTCACCACAATATCCATTAACATAGGATTTGGAAATTGTATTCCAAAATGTGCAGTTGAAAAAGAAAAAAACTAATTTTATGTGGTGACTGGAACATAAACTTTTTAGATGACAGTGTAAGAGTATGAGAACTAAAAAATTTGCTTCGGTTGTATAATTTGGCCAACAAAATTACAGCCCCAACCAGGGTCACAAAGAATTCCATAACACAGATAGGTGTCATAGTAACAAATAAGCAAGTTTTGGAATGCACATCATCAGTACTGGACCTGGGTTTTTCAGACCACTTGGCACAAACACTAAAGATTAATGTAAATAGACGAGAGCGGGGTCCTAAAATGAGCAGAAAAAGACAGTTTACTAAAGAGGGTATCCAGGAGTTTAATTATTTATTGGAGAAGGAGCTATGGCAGGAGAGTTTTTCAAACTCAGATGCAAGTGCTAGTTTTAATGATTTTATGGACACGATCCTTTATTATTATAATATAGCATTTCCAAAAAAGACTGTTTATATGAAAATGACAAGGAAAAGCAAATGGATTACCCAAGGCATAAGATATTCTAGTAAAAGGATGAGACTGTTAAATGGTTTTAAAAAAACAGCATAATCTGTCTAGGGACATGCTGGAATATATCACCAGATATAAAAAATTTATAAGAGTGTTATGAAAGAAGCAAAAAAATAACAAATGATAAGTATATTTCAAGGTCTCAAAATAAAATTAGAGCTATGTGACATTTAATAAAAAATGAAGTTGGTAAGTCATGTAAGGGTGATAAGAAAATCCAGCTGTTTAGCGGTACAAAAATAATATCAGATCCGCAAAGTGTGGTAGATACGTTAAATAATTTCTTTGTTGAAATAGTTGATGACCTTTTAAGTTAAAACAACAAAAACACACAGTGGGAGAAACAAAGGATAAACTGCTGCCCTAATACCATATTTTTCCATACAGTCAATGAATATGAAATAGAGTGTGTAACAAATAGTCTAAAAGGTAAATTATCTGCAGGATATGACGAGATACCAGAATATCTTGTTAAAAAATGTATAAATTATGCAAAAAGACCACTGANCACAGCAGTGTGATCATCAGTTGAAACATAGCAGCCTGCGAGTGTGCGATAACTAAGAAGTCAGCGAGCGGAAGACTTATTGTGCGCTTTCCAGACATAGTGAGTGCTGTAGTACGGTTATACCCGGAGTGTGCATTTAAGGGAGACTTGTATAGCTCCCGCGTTAGTAGTACGTGAAGACAAGTGAAGATCGTGTTAAGAGATCTTGGTGTAGGGTTTGTAAAGTGTGGAAACCCGTGATATTGTGATAAGTAATTGTAGCCGTTATTTGTAGATTGTTAAATAAACCCAATTAACCATCTCTACGGCGTCTTCAGTAACGCGAAACACGTTACAATATTAAAAACTATAGACCAAAATCCATTTTATCGGCATTTTCCAAAATATTAGAAAAACTAATGTATAATAGGCTAACAAGATGTTTAATTCAAAATAATATATTAACAGAGGCCCAAAATGGCTTCAGAAAGAATAATTCAACTGACACAGCAAGTCAGTCTTTCATTGAAAGTATACAGGAGGCCTTAGATAACGGCCTATATGCCATAGGATTATTTTTTGATTTATCAAAGGCTTATGACATAATAGACCATGATATACTTTTCGAGAAACTAGACTCACATAGCATAAGAGGTGTGCCAAATATGTGGTTCAGGTCTTACCTGTCAAACAGAATCCAATATGTAGAAATAAAAAACACTGACGGCAGTGTCAAAACCAGTTATAATTCATCATGTAGGAAAGTGAAGTATGGTGTACCACAGGGATCAGTGTTGGGGCCACTTTTATCTCTTCTATACATTAATGATCTTACAGAAAATGTTCATGGAGCAAAGCTGATTTTATATGCAGAGGATATCAATTTCTTAATTACTGGAAAAGATGAACTTGACCTTCAGTATAAAATAATGAATGTTATGAAAGAATCAGAAATATGGTTTCAAAAAAATAACCTTGTAATAAATACTAAAAAGACATCTGCCATGTCATTTCATTCAAAACAGTGGAGAGATCTGTTAAGACCACAAATAGTTTTTAATAATACAGAAATAGTATAACAGTCAGAATTGAGATTTCTTGGAATTCACATGACAGAAACCCTAAAATGGTGCGCTCATGCTCAATTTCTAAAAGCAGAGCTATGCAAAGTAATTTATAAGGTGAAAATATTAAAATAAATAATGAGTCCATATATGATAAAAATTATTTATTTTTCGAATTTTGAGTCATGTATGAGAAATGGTATCTTATTGTGGGATGGGGAAAGTAAAAGCATTTTTAAATTGAAAAAGCGGGTTCTTCGAGTGATTAGTGGTATTAGTAGTCGCACGTCATGTAGACAAATTTTTAAAGATTACAATGTTTTAACATTGCCTTCTCTGTATATATTGGAGGTGACATGCTTTATCAAAAAATACAAGGCTTATATGGCAATAAATTCAGACATTCATAATTATAACACATGAAGAAAATTAAATTTTCATGTACAGCACTGTAATACAGCTCTTTTTAAGAGGAGTGTGATAAATATGGGAATTAGTTTGTATAATAAGGTCCCCAATCAAATAAAACAAACGGAACATTTTAACTCATTTAAAAAGGAATTAAAATCTTTTTTGTTGAAACATTCCTTTTATTCTGTAGATGAATTTATGTCTTTTGATTCATCAAGTGTGTAAAAGTAATATGTAGTTGATTAATTTGTTGTATTTGTGTAAAGACAATGAAATTAATGGTAACTAGATCTAGATAATATTCAGATGACAAACCCCCTATATAAGGGTGGTACAGTGTATACTGTAAAGATATGCACGAAATTAGATGTAAAACTGACAATTTCCCTATCCAAATGGTTGTAATACCTGTATGTATGGATTGTTGAATGATAATAAAAATGAAAAATAAAAATGAAAAATGATATAATGATAAATATATAGAAGAGGGAGTAAACATAAAATTCCTTGGCTTGCAAATTGATAATCATTTAAACTGGAAAAACCATATCGATCAGTTGATTCCAGAGCTAAGTAGAGCATGTTATGCAGTTAGATTCATGTTACATATTAGTAACATTGACACTCTCAAGTCAATCTATTTTGCTTACTTTCACTCTTTAAAGAAGTATAGAATAATTTTCTGGGGTAATTCATCTGACAGTAAAAAGGTATTTGCATTGCAAAAGAAAATTATTAGAATCATGATGGGTGTCAAATCCCATAATACCTGTAGAGATCTATTTAAGAGACTACAGATCTTAACTTTTCCTTGTGTATATTCATTAATAAACTTCATTACAAATAACAAAGAACGTTTTCAGGTGAATGTGGCTGTACACAGTGTTAACACAAGACACAAACACTGTCTTCACAAACCATAAAGCTTCAGTTTGCTGTAACTCTCATTGGACATACAATCATATTTGATAAATTGTTCAAGGACAAACTTAATAAAGCTTTTTGATGAATATTTTCCTCTAATAGGTTCCTATTCCAAACACCTAATATCACCAAAATCATCCCTTTCTCATTACCTAACTTATAATATCATGCAATATTCCTAGAAAGATTTTACATCACTGGGGATTTTATATACAGGTATACAAATTACTATGATTTTAAAATCAACTAATTTGGTAGCAGATATTTCAAGTTCTTTATCCCTTTCTAAATCCTTTAAAAAGGTGTTAATTTATTATGTTGTAAACCTTTGTTTTTGTCTTTGTATGAAGAGGTATCAGGTAAACAAACAAGGATGCTACATGGCTACTATGTGACTGTTTATTTCACTACAGTATGCCAATTCACAGAGCACAGCGCTACTTACTCCCAATCAATCATACCTACATAACACAATTTGAATCTAAATTTCGTCCTGTTAACAAAATGTTACCTCCCTAACATTTATTACATTAGAAACAAATATACATACTGCAGAAACTATCTGCCAGTTCACCTAAATGTTCAACATTTATATGTAAAATTTGATCCTTGTGTAACCAGTATTCAGAAAAGCATAAAATATCTGGCATTGATAACCATGACCTGAGCAATGCATTTAATTCCAATAATTTATTTCTAAAACTTTGAACATTATGATGTAGAATACTCAAATACTGTGTTTTATCAGATCTTCCTCTGCTTGAAGAAAAGACAGTTTCTTGTGGGGGATTTACTATAAAAAATCCTTGTTTCTTTTTAAGAGTTGACATCTAGTTCTCTTACACAGTAAACCAGACTTTTCTTGTTTCATTGAGTCCTTTTCAGTTATTTTCTGATCTTCCATTCCACTATTTACATCTTCTTGTATGTCTTCCTTATGTACACAAACATTCCCCTGAAGTTCCAAAATTGCCTGCACAATATTATCCCCACTTCACTTATTGTTCTCATCATTTTTTATATGGTCACTAGATTCACGATTTCCATACATTTGTAATAGAACCTTGTTTTCACAACCCCTCGCCTTGATTTCCTGGACACCCAGCATCTGTTTACTTACACTTGGTTAATTATTCCTATACCCCATATCTTTCCATTTTAAGGCTATTGGTAATGCCTTATTTAGCTGCTATTCAGAATCAACACCAGTATGGCAGCCACAAATTGTCCTTCTTCCCTTGACCAATTGGCACTTCCTGTAAATAAAGTAATAAAAACTTAATGATTTTATGAAACATGGTGTACTGATTAGCACTATGCTGGTTGTCAAGAATAGAGATTGCTATATAACAAACTCTGATGTCCACACCCGTAATACCAGATTTAATCATGACTCACATCTTCCGATGGTAAACTTAACGATATTTCAGAAAGGTGGATGGTATTCTGGTATCAAACTTTATAACCACCTCCATCCAGAGCTTAAACACTTATCTTACGACATCCCTGGATTTAAAGTGGCGTTAAAGAAGTGTCTTATCAACAATTCTATTTACACTGTTGAAGAGTACTACTGCTGGAATTAAGATTGATCCCTCATGTATATTTAAATAAACACCGTTGCCTATGCTAGGATGCAATGGACTATGGAATAAAATACACAGGAAAAAGGTACTATTACTGTTGTGATATAGGTGTATTATATATTAAGAAATTAGATTTTATTTGACTATATTAAGAGTCTTGGTAGTCTTTTGATCATGTATGTAATTTTATATGTTATTTTGATATATGGAATGTATTGTTGTACAGTAGTCTTGTTGTATTGAGTATTTAAAATTTTGACGATGATGACTATCTGATTATGTATGTATATTCTTCATATGTTATTGAATTAAATTCAATTGAATTGAATTTTACATTCTATAAATCCTAAGTAGGTTAGTACCTTTGGATACAGAACAAGTCAAAAGGTTACATACATAAGTACAGGCAATTTTAGCTTAAAAATTAATACAACTTAATTTTACATCATTCTCTATTTACATTGAAGTATTCATCTAAAGAGTAGAAGGAATGAGCATGTAGATAATTCTTTAACTCTGATTTAAACTTTTTAGTATCATTGCCCAAGTTTTTAATACTTTGTGGCAGATTGTTGAACACTTTTATGCCAGTAAAGTAGACTCCTTTTTGATATACTGATAAAGTTGATGAGGGTAGGTGGAAGTTATATTTTTGTCTAGTATTCATGTTATAGACATCAGAATTAATACAACTTAATTTTACATCATTCTCTATTTACATTGAAGTATTCATCTAAAGAGTAGAAGGAATGAGCATGTAGATAATTCTTTAACTCTGATTTAAACTTTTTAGTATCATTGCCCAAGTTTTTAATACTTTGTGGCAGATTGTTGAACACTTTTATGCCAGTAAAGTAGACTCCTTTTTGATATACTGATAAAGTTGATGAGGGTAGGTGGAAGTTATATTTTTGTCTAGTATTCATGTTATAGACATCAGAATTAATACAACTTAATTTTACATCATTCTCTATTTACATTGAAGTATTCATCTAAAGAGTAGAAGGAATGAGCATGTAGATAATTCTTTAACTCTGATTTAAACTTTTTAGTATCATTGCCCAAGTTTTTAATACTTTGTGGCAGATTGTTGAACACTTTTATGCCAGTAAAGTAGACTCCTTTTTGATATACTGATAAAGTTGATGAGGGTAGGTGGAAGTTATATTTTTGTCTAGTATTCATGTTATAGACATCAGAATTTAATTTGAATTTATCTTTGTTGTAAACAACAAATAAGAGAAGCGATAATATGTATTGCGATTGAAGAGGTAGAATTTTTAATTTCTTAAATAATTCTCTACATGAATCTCTACTTCTACATCCTGTAATGATTCTAATTATATTCTTTTGTATTTTAAAAATTATTACACTATGTGAAGAGTTCCCCCAAAATATTAATCCATAGTTCATAATAGAATGAAAGTAGGCATGGTAAACCATCTTCAATGTTTCCTGTGACATAAAAGGCTTAATTGATCTCATCGCATAGCAAGCTGCATTTAATTTAGGTATAATTTGTTCAATATGTATTTTCCAAGACAGTGTACTGTCTACATGTATTCCAAGGAATTTTGTATCAAGTACTTTACAGATTAATTTGTTGGCATAACTGATGTCCAGATCAATTTGGTGGTTGTTTTTAGTTGTGAATGATATGTAATGGGTTTTATCAAAATTTAATGAGAGTAAATTGGCTTCGAACCATCTGTTTAAGGCTTCAAATACAATATTTATGTCATTTTTAAAGTTTTCAAATTTAGAGTTCTTAAATATTATACTAGTGTCATCTGCATATAGAATTGGTTTAGATTTATTGTTGATGGTTTTAGATAGATCATTTATGTAGAGAAGAAAAAGTAAGGGACCTAAAATTGATCCTTGTGGAACACCGTGCTTTATAATTCCCCAGTTTGAAAATGCATTATGACTGGAGTTTTTATTATTTATTTCAACTCTTTGATACCTGTTTTTGAGGTATGATTTGATCCATTCATTAGCTTTGCCAGTTATTCCATAGAAATTTAATTTCGATAGTAAGATATCATGATTAACACAATCGAAAGCTTTTGCTAGATCACAGAAAATCCCTCCCACAATTAATCTGTCATTGAGAGCACTTAAAATATCGTTAGTTAGTTCATAGGTTGCTTTTTCTGTTGTTAGGTCTTTCCTAAATCCAAATTGCTCTTTGACTAATATGTTGTTAGAATTTAAGTGTTCAAGTAGTCTATTATACATAACTTTTTCAAAGACTTTTGAGAATGAAGTCAATATGGATATTGGTCTGTAATTAGAGATGCATTTTCTCTCTCCTTTTTTAAAAAGTGGTTTCATTACAGCGTATTTTAAGCGTTGAGGAAAAGTACCTGATGATAAAGATTTATTACATAGATGATTCAAGGGTGAACTGATGTAAACAGAGCTTGCTTTAAGTAATTTGGTAGAGATTTCATCATATCCATGTGAATTTTTGGGCTTAAGGGATTTAATAATGTTTTCAATTTCCTTCCTTGTTGAGAATTTGAGATTGATATTTGGAAATGAATTGTTAAAGGCACGAGACAGATAGTATATTGGATTATTATTATTATTATTATTATTATTATTATTATTATTATTATTATTAGTATTGTTGTTATTGGAATATGTTTTCTCAGCTAATGAAAGGAAATATTCATTAAATGCACTTGCGATAGCTTGTGGATTGTTAGTGGACTTCCCTTCAATATTCAAACTTTGTACATCTTCATTAACAGATTTCTTTCCTGATTCAACTTTCACAATATCCCAGGTGGTTTTAATTTTATTGTTTGATTTTAGAATTTGGCTGTTATAGTTATTCTGTTTGGCTTCTTTAATGACTTTTGACAAAATTTTACAGTACATTTTGTAGTGACTTTTTAGTCTTGGATCATTACTGTCCCTACTGGCCAAATATAGTTGTCTTTTGTGTTTACATGAAGTTTTTATTCCAATTGTTATCCAGGTGGATTTGTTTTTATTTTCAGTTTTGACTTCTTTTAATGGAAAGCTTGAATAAAAGATCCTCAAGTATGTGTTCAGAAAGCAATTAAATTTAGAATCAATATTATTTCTGTCAAATACATTGTCCCATGATTCATTACTTAATTTTGTGACAAAATCTGCCATCGTATGCTTGTTGATTTTCCTTACTGTTTGATATTGTTGATTACTGGACTGAAGGTCAATATTATTTATTTCTATGAGTTGAGCATCATGATCGGATATTGTATTGCTGACTTGTTCTATATCTGAGGCAGATGCCTCCATGGATTTTGTAGAACAGTAAATAAATGAATAGGAAAAAACTCACACCCCAAGAACTTCCAGCAGACTAGCTACCCTGACTGGTTATGTAGGTTTCTTAGTCCTTCAAGCAATTGCCCTTAACAGACCAAAATATAAATAATTAAGAAAAGTAGATTTTCAAAATTCAATCTAATTACTGTTCTATTTTGCTAATCAGGTTCAGTTTATTTAATAATACTTTTGTATGAACTACAGAAGTTCTGTTGTGCTACAGGATGGTCATGACAAGGATGTGGGTGGAGGATCTGCAGCCCATTTCTAGAGCATGTGATTAGAAATATGTCAAGTGACAAATAAATGATTAGAAGAGATACTAAGGAGTGGTACAAATATGTTTTCTGAAATTACCTTGTTAGAACATTTATTTGGTCATACAGCATATTCAGAATTGACTATAATAATTACATAAGGATGAATGTTAGAAATAACTTGAAAAACTCCCCTGTTGACCTTGATAGATACTGTGTAGATAAGGACATTGAAGTATGTGCAGTCCATCTAAACACTAATAGGGATAGAATTTGTATCATATCAGTATATAGATCTCCTTCTGGAAATTTTAGTACTTTCTTAAGTAATATTGAATTAATTTTACATAAACTCTGTAAAAATAACAACAAGGTTATTATTTGTGGCGATTTTAATGTAAATTTTAGTGAAGACTGTCCTATGAAAAGACAATTAGAAGTCTTATTTGGTACTTTTAATCTTAGATCTACTGTTACTTTTCCCACGAGGATTGGATGTGGTACTTCGACACTTATAGATAATATTTTTATCAATGTGCATCAGTATGAGGGTTATGAAACTATTCCTATGTCAAATGGACTCTCTGATCATGAAGGGCAACTATTAATACTAAATGTTTCTTCACAGGTTACTGAAGAGAAACATATCTATTATCATAGAAAAATTAATAATGATAGTATATTCGATTTTCAAATGAAACTGAGCTATGAAAGCTGGGAACCTGTATTTAATACCAGTGATTTAAACTCTAGCTTTAATGAATTTTTAAATATATTTCTGAGACATTTTAATTCTTCTTTTCCCTTACAACGAGGGTGTAAACAGAAATCTAAGTCATGGGTTACTACAGGTATTTTAGTTTCCTGTAAAAGGAAAAGAGACCTATATCTAGAAACTAAAAGTACAAACAATCCAGTATTGCTTAAGTACTATAAAGACTATAGTAGAATACTAAATATGGTAATCAAGCAAGCCAAAAGAATCACATATGAAAAACAACTTAGAGATTCCAAAAATATAACTAAAAGTACCTGGAATATAATAAATACTGAAGTTTGTAAGAAAGCCAGAAAAACAAAAGACAATAT